CTTCTCCGTACCGACCAAAGATGAACGGTGCCGTAGAGGCAGCCAATAAGAATATTAAGAAAATCATCCAGAAGATGGTAATAACCTACAAAGATTGGCACGAAATGTTGTCCTTCGCCCTACACTGCTACCGAACGTCAGTTCGAACCTCCACAGGGGCTACTCCATTTTCCCTCGTATATGGAATGAAGGCCGTACTACCAGTAGAGGTTGAAATACCCTCCCTACGAGTTGTTATGGAGGCAAAGTTGACAGAAGTCGAATGGGTCCAAAGTCGATACGATCAGCTGAACCTAATCGAAGAAAAACGGCTGGACGCCATATGTCGGGGGCAAGTTTATCAAAGAAGATCAAGAAAGCCTACGACAAGAAGGTCAATCCCCGCACCTTCCAAGAAGGGGATCCAGTGATAAAGAAACTGCTCCCAACCCAGAAAGACAAAATTGGAAAATGGACAGCAAATTACGAAGGGCCCTTTGTGCTCAAACGAGCCTTCTCAGGAGGAGCCCTCATCCTCACCAACATGGACGGAGAAGAGCTTCGACATCCTGTCAACTCAGATGCGGTAAAGAGATATTACGCCTGAAGACATCGCTCATGACTTGTCAGGATGAAAACTCGCAAAGAGCGTCCTGGGCAAAAGGTAGGGTCCGCATTCCTCGCTAGGATACGTCCTAGGCAAAAATTAGAGGTTTCAAAAAAAAAAACACACAAAAGAGAAAAGAGCAATGATTACCTTAGCCGAAAACCGCAAAGGCGACTAAGGTAATACCTTCATAGAAGCAAGCAGACTTCGCATAGTCTTCACTCCGAGTTCGAGCATCTCAATTGAAGTGACCAGGAAAAACAGAGAAACAGAAATCACGGGCATGGTGGATATATCCTATACAGCTTAGCCAACCTTGGTCAGCCTTACTTACAAATTCCTTTGTAAATCTTCATGAAAAATAGACCATCTGGTTATATCAATAAATATTATCTTTTCTTCTCTTTACCCACTTATGAGAATGTCTCTGTACTAACGAAATATGAGCATGCATAAAACAAGCAATACGAGAAAGCATAAGAAAAACAAGACAAACAGCGACAACCAGGACCGTCCCGAGCAAAAAAAAAAAATCCACAGAAATATCTCAGGCAGTAATTAAGCCCGCTAGGTCGAAAACCCACAAAGGGCTGTCTAGGCAAAAGATAGAGCTAAAACAAAAAAATAGTCACGAGAGAACAAAAAAAAGAAGTACCGGTCACTTTCTAGATGCCCCCAACTAAAACAAATTGCATCAAAAGTATCCACACACAAGTAGTTGCACGAAAAGGACTTTGTCAGAATAAAAAAAAAAAAAAACATACTTCATTCATATAAAAAGATCAGCTTCATGCTTGCATAGGGAGCACTCAGGGGTATCCCGGTAAGACCTTGGCAAAACAACCAATAATTCTTCGACAACCAAGCAAAAGTCGAACAACAAACAAAGTTCACCCGATCAACCAGCAACAATCGAGTGATCACCTTCAAAAGATCAGAAACAAAGAATCCCCAACAACCAACAAGGCTGGATGAACACCACAAAATCTCCGGCACATACCGGACGACCATTCCCAGAAAAAGACAAACAAAAAAGCACATCTCAACACGGGCGCATGAGCTAGAGCAGTAAGCCGCCACCACAGCCAAAGGATCGGGTACCGCAAGAAGGAGCATCCGGAGGCATAACACCAGATGGGGGTGTATACTCATCAGGCCTTACAAAAGGGGGTTTACCGGACGGGGTTCATACTCGTCAAACACCAGATGGGGGTGTATACTCATCAGGCCTTACAAAAGAGGGCTTACTGGGCGAGGGTTCATACTCGTCAAACCAGATGGGGGTTCGTACTCATCAGCCGAAAGGATCAGCTACCGCTAGAAGAAGCATCCTGGAAGCGCACCTTTACCCGGAAGATCAACCGCTATAAAAACGGAACATCTGAAGGACAACCAGGCAAGAGGGTCAACTCCTTTACCTTCCAGTCGATCTCCGTGGCACAACAGGTCAGCAGTCGACTAGTCGGGTAAAGGGGGGGCAGCTGTAGACCCCAAATCTTGTCCGACCTCATAATAAAGACCAGAATACCTCCTTTTTGAAGATGGATGAAGCCTAAGAAGTCATTAGGAGAGACTATTAGGCCCCATACTAGGATAGGAGGGATTTTTGGCATAAAAATAAGGATTGTCGCCTTTTAAGGTCGAGACCGCCGTCTCGGATTCGGGACCGTCGTCTCGCCTTGCGCAATTCCCCCCTTTTAAGGTCGAGACCTGACAGGCGCGAATCCCTATAAATAGTCGCGCCATTCCCCTCATTTCACACAGTTCTTCCATTCTCTCTCTAGTCACTTCCTCAAATTCTCTTTCTAGAATCCCTACGAAGCATTTCCGGAGTTTCTGAGAGCTTTCTAGAGTTTTTTATAGCATTTTCGAGAGATTCCGGCACTGTAAAGAGTGAAGGGCTGCCAAAAAGCACCCTAGTTTTCAAAGAATTAATAGAAAACTTGTCTCGGAGGTTTCTATACTCTCTCTCTCTACTTTACCACTTTAATTTTAATTATGCAATAGATATTAGGGTGATGTAATCGTAATTTTAAATTCCTCAAATAAAGGGTAAAAACATATTTTCTCTGGTTTATTTATTCAAAGTAGTTGGTCTGTCATAGGGAACCCGAAAGGGGCGTCGTAAGGGAACTAACACTTCCCTTATACGTAACTAACTCCCTTACCCAACTCTGGTTTTAATGACCAAAGTTGGTTTTTCGAAAACCAACGCCTTTTTTCTCCTTTTCTGATGTTTCCGGTAAAAATATCGGTGGCGACTCCAAAAGAATCCTTCAAAACTAGTTCTTGGGTTAGCCCGATTATCGGACAACCCAAGAGCGCCTTTTCGAAAACTTCGCCCTTAGGTTCAGTCCGGTTATCGGATAATCTAAAGACGTTGTAACCATACCAATAAAAAACGTGAAAATTGGAAAGTCGGAACCATCGCGTCGCTCCGACCGCATCGTTTTGACGGCGGCGACAACCAGCATCTTCACATTTTGCATTATGAACGGATCAACCAACATAGAGTTAACTTATATATTATGTTAAATACCCTGAAAAAAAAAGTTCTTTTATTCGTTCGCAAATGACAAAGGAAATTATAAATTTTGTTCTGTATCATTTAAAAGTGCATATCTTCTTGCTGAAGATTCAAACATTAAATAATTTTCTGCGTTTGTGATTAAGGAGAAAGGGAGGAACAAACTAATCCGCTTTTTATTTTGTGCAGAATTTTAAACTTCCAGGAAAAAGATAAAAGAAGAAAAATGAATAAAGGGTTATCGGTGTAAAAATGAGGAAAGTACGATTTCATAAAATTTCTGAACGAGTTAATGGTGTAAAGAAAAATAAAAATTAGGAGGGTCAACTTGTAACAGTACAGCGACATAGACACTACATCTTTCCAACGACCATAAGATCACTGGAAGAATACAACATCTGGTAACAGCAGTTAGTGGGGTCTGTCTGTCTTTGAATTATTGAGTCCTTTGGGATAAAAACTTCGGTAATATGGCTCAAGTGACAGCCTAGCAATGTCCGTGCTGATGTCTGAGTCTAATCATGTAAAGAAAAGAGATCATGGTTTGGGTTGGATTCATGCATATTCATTCTATAGGCATTAAATATAGTTATAAGTTATACATATTTCGGGACAGACCTAACTTAAGTGTGTTAAAAGATGTTTAAATATTAGCTGGAGAATCTGATGTCCATCTGATGGCAGACAGGAATTAGATCTCCAACTTCTTGTTGGTTTCTAAGTGTGCGGTATGTGAAGGATTGGTGGAAAAGAATCACACTTGGGAGAGAGAGAAAAATTGTTTACCTACTTATGTGTTTAGGGAAGTAAGCAACAACATATTCAAATGAATCCAGTTCGCTTACGACTCTCACCCCAAAACTCAAATCGTTTTTGTTCTGGACCCCTGCTACGAGTACTAATTTGACCTCAGTTTGGCAAATTAATTCAATTCACTATGCAACCAGAACCTTCCAGCGGTACAAATAAACTGAATTATTGGAAAAGTTCGTTAGAGATATCAATTCTAGTAAGATTTGTGAGAACCTTGTATAGATAGGAAAGGACAAGAGAACCAAATCAAGATGGCAAAAATAAGCCAAATACGGGTGGTTGATGTATTTGCTATCTAATTTCGAACGTAATCCTCCATTAGTATTCTGTATTCGCATATTTAAACATTAGAACATTTTGAAGATACACCATCAAACATGGACAATGCCAATTCCGAACGAGTTATTGGGCTAATGCGAGAGTATTTTAAGTTTGAAGTCGACATTTTTTAGATTCTGTTTGAATATTTTGTTCTTACAACTGGTGGTGAACAGTTTTTATGCTAGCTGCAAAGGACCATCCACTCTCATCGGAGGTTTGAAGGGTTTTTTTGACTCCTTCAGAAATAAGATTTATTGTGAGTGGTAGCGAGAACAAACTACAGCAACGTGATACTGTAGTAAAACGCTACTGGATTTAATTGTTTTAGAGCGATCTATTAGGGTAAGACAGATTTTTGCCATTGTAAGGAAACTTGGTATCTAAAATTTCTTTGTTAAAAGGCTAAATTGGGTGGTGGGAATCCAATTAAAATGAAATATCTCGTAGCGTTTCTGAGAAAGTGATATTTGATTATTATAGTTGTCCTCCGTAATGCATGAAAGGATGATTGTATGGCTTTTAGTGGCAAGGAATATGAGGAACTGCAGGACCAGAGAAATATCAGTGCCATGTGACTTGTGAATAGTAATGGGTTTGGGCATCAGGGAAGAAAGTGATCTTATGATTGACACATCAAATCCCACCACACTCAATAATTTGGCTGAACATCCAACACAAACATCATCCACAAAGTTAGTCTTAACTCTTAAAACATAAACTCAAATATATCACATTGACCTTCGATTTTTCTTTTCAAGTCATGTTCAGATTCAACACTTGAAAAAGCCAAGGTGACTGTTTTAATCTCTCTTGTCTTAATTGTTCTTCAATATCAAAACTGTTCCTAATTCCACTTTGGCACCCTGGGGTTGAACCGGGGACAAGACGAATTATGCTTCCACCTGATTCTTCTCTTCTTGTTTGACTGCCATGACATCTTGTCTTGTTTATATGGCTTGATCCACTAGAAGAAGAAGACAAACTCTGTCCTGAATCTGATGTTAGTGGTGTCTCAACTTTCTTCCTACGGTTGTAACTTGAGGGGCCTAATGTTAGCTCAATCTCAGTCTCATCTATGACCTCTAGCACCCCATCTTCTGATTCTGCAATGTGCTCGTCTGCAGGCCTTTCAAGGTCAAATTTCATTTGAGGCTTTTCTTGTGCTCCTTTATGAGTTAAACTAATCGCATTCTTGAAGTACCACTCTTCTTCGCTTACTTCGACAACTCTTCTAGCTTCCACATTTTGCATCAGTATCTTCTGGATTCGGTACAAACGATGTAGTTCATATACCTGTTAAAAACATTCTCGGGATTTAAGGCTCTAGTATTCATGATTTAAGAAGATATCCAGAAGGAATAGAAAGGTAAGTACCTGCTCTTTGAAAGTTTCTTCGTGTTTTAACATGGCCATCCTCATGTATTCTTTGTCGCAGGATCTAACAAGCTTCTCCATCAGTGATCTACTTTTCTTCCGAGAAAGAGAACTTTGAACAAGTGCTGCACAGTTAAGTCTTCTTTGTAGAAAATTTTTATTCAGACTTGTATCTTCATGCCTTCATATAAGTCATATATCACTGATGAGCTTAAGTGATGTAGTTGATAGATGAAAAGCTTTTATATAGAAAATAGGATGGTTCATCCAAAGCATGGTTACAATGGCCTTGAGACACAAATACAAAATGATAGCATCAACTTCCTTTTAGTATAATTTGTCTGTTCCCTTGCTTGCTCTCCTTTCAAAACTTTGGACCACATTCGACTGAACCCCAGCAAAAAAATATCTTCCGACATCTTTATCAGTTGAATTTTCCTACCATAATTATAACTTCTCATACATACACACGCATGATGTCATTATTCATGTTATCCGTTCAATTATTGCAATATTTTAATCATCGACCAAGAAAACATTTTTCTCTTCTTTTCATATACCCAGTTTAAAAATAATGCTTGAAGAAGCAATATCATTATAGTTAGGGCCATAAAGAACCCCATTTACTTGTTTTTTTAACCCTTGAACTTTCCTTCCTTAGTTTCTCTCTCATTCAGGAATCTGTACCATAATTTTGTTTCTGTCATAATGATTTTTCCCTTGTTAAACTATCTGCAGACATCCATTCCTATTACTCTAGAGATTTAAAGGGGTCAATGATTTAGGCTACGCTTCTGTTTGTGTAATCTTTTAGAACGTACTATACTTCTCCACATTGGCCCGCAAGATGGAAAGCATATTCCTCTTGCATGAGATAGCAAACTCTCATCTCTCAATTTCTTCAGGATTCTATATCTGTTTATTTTGTTCTCTACCATCTAATATCGCAATCTGAAATTCAATTATCACCCTAATGACATAATATAAATTTTAAACACATAATATATATCATCTTCAATTCTCAACTGGAGAAAATCTTTGTAGCACCTCATTAAAGTTATGCAAACCCAGTCCCACAATCTAAAAGACATAACAATGGTATACAATATGACACAAAATTTGCTTGCAAAAAGGGAAGAAGAGGGGCATGCAACAGTTTAAAATATCAGTTGGTAAATTTAAACAAGAATACGCCTATCATAAATACTAATTGAATTTTTCCAACGCAAAAAATATTATGAGAAACGAAATATTATAGCTTCTAACCTGGTAGAATTCTATTAGCCGAGGGTACCAAAAATTTCTTCTGAAGAAGAAGACAAGAGAACAGAAGGAGATCTCAGAAGGAAAGGCAAGAAAGACACTCTTCCTTTCAATTGCAACCCAACTTAAGCGACAAGACAAGCCTGTGTTAATTTGAAGAAGAGTCTGCTAATCTGCTCTCACATTCCCCATCAGGGTCGTCAGTATATACTGTTGTGGATTAAATAGAACACTTCAATGTAACAGAACTGTTGTGGAATTTAAGATTCTCTCTTGAAGACACGGAAACCAAGGAGCTATTGCATGAGGTTAGAGGCATGCGAAACAAATCCCAGTGCCTTGACCAATGTGATTCAAGTTTTGTGGAGGAGATGCCTGAGACAGGTCCAGCAATGCAGATATATTAAACTAAGAGTAAAGAAAGGAGAAGAAATAAACAAATAGAGGTATTATTAGAACTATTTTAAAACAATATAATTGTTGAGGATCACAAGGCCTTGGTTTGCTCAAGACAAATCATGAACAGAACAGCAGAGCCTGCTGAGGTGAATCACATGCACCTAAAATTTCTAAATCATAAAATAGTTGTCTGAAACTGCACATTATATTATTATGTATATATGTTAGCATCATTGTATAATTGAAGCGTGCCTATGTGATTGTGAAGGAGCTTAAGGTGGCATCTTCTTTGGCGCCGACAGTTGGATCCTGACCGTACGATAAGTGGGTATCTCTGGTAGTTGTCCAGGCTAGAAACTGCTCCCAGAATCTCAAATCCAACCATTGGTGTTCAGTTTTCACACATTAAAAAAAGAAAGGAGACACAAAATCATGGGTTTATCCCTTCCTTAATTCTTTTGTTCGGTTCTATGGCATTGATGGGGCGAGCAAACTGTGAATAATGAATTGTGGATATTTCGTACCTGTACCATGTCAAAATAGATGCAATATGGTATTTGATGGGTTTTTTGAGCATCAAGACCCGTGGCAATGATTATAGACGTTAACTGGCCATGTGGGTGCTATGTTTTCGTTAATAATGTAATCTAATTTAATGCATGGTTGTGCTCACTTTATACATTTTTATTTACAAACGGATGTGCATACGTTACGGGTATATATCTACGCTAATCCATATGATAACATTGGAAGCATACTAATACGTATCCATTAGATCCGTGTGTGCCCTCCTCCTTATCAAGATCACCACACACATGCTTCTCAGGCCTACCTTCTCTCTCTTTTACCTATGTTGAAGTAATAATAATATTTATAATAATATATGAAGAAAAAATATTAATAAAAACAAAAAGAGGGAGAAAAATGGACGTGGAGTGGAAGCACGCGTTGCCGGGGGTAGAAGGTGCAGTCTTATGGGGTGGTGGGTCCTTTGAGTTTGCAGAAAAGCCTGACCTATATAAGGGCTTGCCTTATTCTTTGGTCCCATTTGAATTCCATATTCAATCACACCAACCAACCCACCATCAAATGGGAAACCGTGATTCATACACATATTACCTTTATTAAACAACTCAGCAAACCATACGTATATATAATCATTTCCACCAAACATCAACTATTTTCATGACGTGTTTTAGCTCAGATCAACACTAAATATTTACTAATTTCTTGTGATGAACATGACATTACTGATAAAAAAACTTAAAGATGATCGATAAAATGGATAAGATTGCCTCATTTGAGTTTAACCCACTCCAAATGCGTGTTAGGTCGTCTTACTCCATTATTTTAAATGGGCTAGAAATCCTGCACTAAATTATAAGACTCCTGTATCAAATTTTATATAAGACATGAGTATTCAATTTAAGATGGTTGTTAAAACTTATGTATTAAAAAATTCCAAAATGTGAAAACTCAAAAAAACAAGGGACCATCGTGTGTTCTTGACAAGGGAGCACGGGAGGGTTTGTAGAGATAGATGTTATTATTTGCAATAACAATCCATAAAAAAACATCATTATTTAGATAAGTAAAACAAAACTATAGTAAAAAAATTATTAAATAGTTTATTATAATGAATATGACTAATATAAATAGTTGATACTGAATAAACGAATATTTTCTCTGAAAATAATATTCTCTTTAAAAAATAATTTTATTTCGTCTGGTACACCTTAAAGAACTTCAAAAGGACCCATGTATTTTAGTCCATTACATTGTTGTATTTCTCTGTATATACTTTTCTTTTTAACTATACAATTGCTAGAATACTTATTATAATTCGTATAGTAATAAAAATAGGTAGAAATTTCCAAAAACTCTTAAATAAAGTGAAACTTATAAATATATTGAAATATTATTTTTAATCTTACTATAGATATCAATACTTCGTTTAACAATAAGATGTCTTGGTTCATATATGTTATAATATATATTATTGTTAGGATCAATTATCTTATTTAAGATATTGTTACTTTTATAATTTTAGTTTATCATTTATTGCTAAAAGACATATAAGTGGTTTAAGAAGAAAAAATGTATATATAATTCTAGTACATCATAATTTTATCTTTATCTTTAAAAGATACATCAATAAATAAGAAAAAAAGTGTATATATAATTGTAGTCCATCATAATTTTATCGTTAAAAGACGTATCAATGAGATAATATATATATATATATATATATATATAAACTAACTTTACTCTAAACTTTTAAATGATATGAAATTAATAAATATAGTAAAACAGTTATATTATTAAACAAAAATATTTTCACTGTCTTTAACACTACTAAAATTTTAGAAAAAAAAAAAGAAATTGTCTTTGGTTTAGTATTTTTTTCTTTTTATCTTTATAGTCAATTATACTAATAAATAAATAAATAAAATATACTCTAGTATCTTAATTATTAATGGCAAAATCAACGATGGATTGGGACAGGTAGGAATATTAATTATCTCCTATATATTTTGTGTTAAAAATTAATTTCGTCCTTCACAGTGAAAGAAAATTATAAAATATTTTACATATGTTTTTATGCATGAATATTTACATATAGTTTTTATTTTAAATAATATTATTTAAAATTAAATATTATTCTTTAAAAAATAATTCAATAAAAAATTTATATTAAAATATAATATAAATTATATTATATTATATTATAAAATGTTAGAATAAGTATAATATTATAATAAAGAAATTTAACTCAACGTTACTGATCAATATTTAGATTGATTTGTATATTATAATATTATTATATTTATAATTAATGTGAAATTTTAATATATTTTATTATTTTCAAAATAATTTTTCATCATTAGAATTGATTTTAATATAATATTAAAAGTTTAAAAATATTTAATTAAATTTAATAAACTGTAATATGTACTTATTTATATGTTATATTAAAAATTAAAAAATATTTAACTTGATTTAATTAACCGTAAATTATACTTATTTATATATTATATAATGTTTGATAAGATTTTATTGTAAAATGATTTTCTTAAAAAAATAAACTTTAGATATACTAAAAATATAAATTTAAGTAAAATTAATCATTTTAAAAAATAAATTTAATTTCATAATTTAAAAAAAATATATTCAGAATTACTTTTTGAATGATTTTTCAATTGTCAGTATCTTTTAACAAATAATTTTACTTTGATTATTTATTTAAAAAAATATCATTCATGAGTAACGAAGCATATGCAATGATATAGATATGATTATATGATAGCAGTATTTCTTTTTTCTATTGACAAAGGATTAATTAAAGTATTCGTGCACCCAACACCTTGATACACCTTGATATCTATTAAAAGTAGTTTTATATCCACCCAGAATTTTATCCACAAATATGTGGGAGCCAAATCTGTATCCTAAGTCGACTTAATTAAAACTCGCCCTCTTAAATAAGGTGGGGTTGGATGGTATTCAGCCTTTTGATTCGGGTTGTTTTAACTTCAAACAAGAGTTTGCAAGTAGGGAAGTGACTAGCTTACTAAGTTATGTTTGTAACATGAAGATTAATTTTGTGGGAAGTTTTAGAATTATAGTTTCCCCAGTGTGGTTACACTGATGAGTATTGTTTTAGTAAAACTAATAGAGTGGAATGGAACCAAATGAGCAAGCCTCCAAGTTGAAACACAGAAATAACATCATGATTTGACCAACACATAAATTTGGTGAATTAGGATGATGATCCTGGTGAGTGTGAAAAGTGAAGGAGATGGGATCGTATCTGAAGTGAAGAAAGCTTGGGTAGGATTTTTCAGAACCCAATAGAAAGAAAAAGTAGGACATACATGTATTTGGACATTTTGCTCTTTCAACTTCAACTTGTTCCCATCCAATTGGTGCAGATTTTATTCATGTTGATTGGTTGTTTTGCGTTGTTGGGCTTGGCACGTTAGCCCCCACACAGTATTATCGTCTTTGTTGCATTATGATGGAGGGTTGTATGATGATATGGACAGAGAGAATCCAAATTGGTTAAAGATAGCATAATTGCGCCCCCACCATGTTCAAATTTAATCAATGGACACACATTTGATTACGTTGCCAAAACCAGAGAACAGAGACGAAGAGGTCATGCAAGTCTTCCTTCAATGTCGTCGTATGTGGAAAAAACCACCCTCTGAGTGGACCTTCTATTTATTTCACTCACCATGAGACGATTCCCTGGACCCCCCCACCCTTAAAACATTATGATATATGCTGTTTGCTTAAATATCATATTTTCAATATAATTGATACCATCTTTCTAAACTCACCAGCTTGGAGTTATAGACATAGTTTACATGGAATCTTAAATTTAAACCTCTGACATTATTTGGCGACAAAAAAGATAGACAAATCTTACGCTTATATCCTTGAGAGCGACGTTGGCTTTTCATTCCTTTGTAATATGCATCACTATCTTCTCATCAATTATTGACTTAAATAACAAATTATGAGGATACGATAAAATCACTTACAATTCCTTATTTCTTCATCCTGCATGTTTGATTTTGCGTCTGGGATGGGATAAAGTTAAACTAAAACTATTTTAAATAACTTTTTTTTTCTCCTATTCGAAATGTAGTTACGAAGTTCCATACACATCAAGCCAAAGACAAACATAATCAAAAAGTGACATCATTTCAGAAGAAAAAAAAATGTTACCTAAAAAGTAACACACACTTAAGTTTCAGTACTTTTTAAATTTTAAATATGACTTTCTTTCTTTTTTCTTGTTCAAGTTCCTTTTAAAAGATAAACACGTGGAATGCGAAAAACGAAATTGACAATACAATCATTTTCCTCAAATAAATATGTATAATAATGACGAAGTGTTAATTTTACTTTCATTAGCATAACATTTATCTAACAGAAATTAAACATTGTGAATTAAATATATATTTGTCAGTATTAATACTAATAATGTGAACTATCGTAGCATGGAATATTAATACGTTTTCACTCACCAAAAAAAACTCTTTAATTGAAGGGCATACAATCTACAAACACTATAATGTGGTTTATGTCAAATATTAAGTCTAATAATTGCTACATTACAAATTAGTTTAAAAAAATTTCAACTCTAAAACAATTTGTAATTTTATTAAATAGCTAATGGGTTTTATGTCAAATATAAGGTGGAATCATTGTCACCATACAAATCAAAAGAATAAAATCTTATATATATGTTTTTCATTAAATAAGACTTCTAATTCATAAATTTAAAATCTAAAAGTTAAAATTAATCATGTATAACTGCAAAAATAAATTTTGAAGAAGATATATAAAATATTTTTTTATATAATAAAAGTTGAA